ATATTTACTTCTCTCTTTTAACGTATCTTCTTTATTTTGTTACCCTATTTCTAAACTTCCATAATCCTGGCCTGATTTTTTTTTTCTAAGCTCGTTTGGCCGGGTTATTTTTTGCTAGAGCAGCAAGTCCCTTCCCCTGGTGTTTTGGGCATTCCGCGATGTGACTAAAATTAGAAACGGGGTTGGCTTTTTTTCGCTGCATCATCTAAAGCTGGGGAACAAAGACGCCTTTGCTTTTTCTTTCTTGTTTTCTTTCCCAGGCCCCTTCAAAGCCGCTTTAAGCCTCTCTCTCTCTCTCTCTCTCTTCCCCCTCCCGTCCTTCTTACTGTCTGCTGGCAAGGAAAGGATGTAGAGGACGAGAATGCAGAAAGGGAGGGAGAACGGAGAGGAATTTGACAGGAAGGAAGGCAGAACTCAGCAGGGGAATCTTAAGAGGTGGGAACCTCTTAAGCTGGGAAGCAATATTCTTCTCTCTTTTTTTTTTTTTTTGGATGGCTGGGACTTGGCTGGGAGATATAGAATGCTTGGAAGCAATTGCGTTGCCCCACTTTTCAAGTTTTCAGCTTGTAAAACCTGGCACCGCAGAGAGGCTGCTACAAAGATTTCACTGTGCTTTTAACACTCCGTCCCCACTCTGGTTTTCTACAGGAGGTAAGGAAGGATGGAGATTCTGAGGGAGGAGGGAGGTCTAAGGAAAGAGTCAAGGAAGGTTTTAATCGGAATAGAGCTGGGAGGGACCTTGGAGGTCTTCTAGTCGAGCAGGAGACCCTATATTGTTTCAGACTAGTGCCTGTCCAGTCTCTTCTTAAAAGAGCACCACAACTTCTGGAGATATGACCTTCCATTGGTTGATTGTCCTCACTGTTAGAAAGTTTCTCCTTAAGTTCCAGGTTGCTTCTCTCCATGGTTAGTTTCCATCCATTGCTTTTAGTCTTGCTTTCGAGTGCTTCGGAAAATAAGTTGACCCCTCTCTTCTTTGTGGCAGCCCCTCAAATACTGGAAGATGCTATCACGTCCCCCCTCCAGTCCTTCTTTTCTCTGGACTAGCCAGGCCCAGTTCCTGCAACCGTTCGTCGTCTGTTTTATCCTCCAGTCCCCTCATCATCCTGGTTGCTCTTCTCTGCCCTCTTTCTAGAGTCTCAACCTCTTTTTTTTATAGTGGGGTGACCAAAACTGGATGCAGGATTCTGGGTGTGGTCTTACTAAGGCTTTATGTGAATTGGGTCTTAAGTTGCATGGAGCCACATAAGTAGGAGGTGTTTTGCTTCACAACGCACAGACAGTTTCTAGGAGAATTTGTCTGCATTTTATAAGCTCGTATTCGGAAGTTGTGTTGTTTTCTGGGTACTTCAGGCACTGGCCTGAACAGGGGGTTGGACTAGAAGACCTCCAAGGTCCCTTCCAACTCTGTAAGTCTTCCACTTGCATGTCAAATTGTTGATTGCAACCTTGATTAGCTTCTGGGAAACACTGGTATGTCCTTGTTCTGACCAAGGCTTCCTGAGACCATAATTAATCACACGCTTAATCCAAACAACCCTCTTTTTATTTCAACGGCTGGGAATTATGTTCATTCTCAGCCGGTAATGAGTCCCAAACAGTCCCTCAAGATAAGCACCCACCTTTCTCTCCTTTGAATTGCTGCCAATAACTAAAGTGCCAAATTAACTGTAAAAAGCCAAACAGAGGACAAAATCCACACAGAGCTTCAAAGTTTAATCCGAACAGAGTGAAAGTTGCTTCCTGCAAAGGCTCCTGTCCCTTTGCTCCTCCTTTATGACTTATGGCTTACTCCCGAGTCTCCCCTTTTGTCTTAACTGTTCTTGCCTTCTGGCAGCTCTGCACATGTGCACACTGGTAGCAGGCTCCCACTGTTCCTCTGCCTCGCTGCTGTCAGATTCTGGAGGCTCCAGTCAGCACATAACTCCCAGATGGCCCTGGCCCCATATGTGTATCAGACGCAGGACCCTCGTCTGAGTCCTCCCCAGACTCCCAGACTGGCCCATGTTCCTCCCCACTGTCCAACTCTGCTGCCATGTCCGCAGGCTGCCAGGGGACCACAATAGTTCCTTAAATTTAAGGACTTGTTCACAAACTAATGCAGCTTTGCTTTTTGTGATAGGGGACTTCAAGAGAAGGAGACTCCTGAGCGATCGCTTAGAAAGGTCCAGCAGCCAACCCACCAAAGCAGGCACGTGTCTTCCGTCCAAGCAGAAGCAGCTCTCGGTGAACCCACAGAGATCAGCCATCCCATGGTTGCGGTCCACAAGATATTCTCGAGAAGGAAGCAGGAGGCGGAGTTTTCACCTCACAGCAGCATGGCGAGCGTAAGGGGAAGTGTAGCATCGGAATCTGGGGCTCCGCATTCACCCTCCCGGAAGATGGACACAACGTTGTGTGAGGTAAGTCTGAGTTGGTGATGGCAAACATGGAGGGAGAATTCCAGGTAATCCATCTTGTTCACTCGGGAAGATTAAGGAAGGAAATATAATCTCAAATATCTCCAGAATAGAACTTGGAGACCAAGATGGAAAGAATTATTTGTCTCCTGATCTCTGGGATCCTTTAGATATTGAAGGTACTAAGAAACCCCACCAGGTAAGTCCACTGGACATGGTTGAGTCCACTTTGGATGGAGCTACAACTTTTCCTAAAGAATCATTGAATGTCTATGGAGATCCTCAGTCATTCAGGTTATGGTTGCCCCAAAGATGCTTTTCCAAGAGGCAACTGGACTTTCTGGTTTTTCTTTGAAGATGTTTCGCTCCTCATCCAAGAAGCTTCTTCTGCTTTTCTAAAGATAGAAGAAGAAAACCTATGATTAAGATAACCTGAAGAAGATAACCTATGACTATCACTAAGTGTTGTATCTTATGCTTCTTGATGAATGTATCTTTTCTTTTATGTACACTGATAGCATATGCACCAAAGACAAATTCCTTGTGTGTCCAATCACACTTGGCCAATAAAGAATTCTACTCTACTCTACTCTACTCTACTCTACTCTACTCTACTCTACTCTACTCTACTCTATTCTACTCTATTCTATTCCTATTCTACTCTACTCTACTCTACTCTACTCTACTCTAATCTAATCTAATCTAATCTAATCTATTCTATTCTATTCTATTCTATTCCTATTCTACTCTATTCTACTCTACTCTACTCTACTCTACTCTACTCTACTCTATTCCTATCCTACTCTACTCTATTCTATTCTATTCTATTCTATTCTATTCTATTCTATTCTATTCTATTCTATTCTATTCTATTCCTATTCTACTCTACTCTACTCTACACTATTCTACTCTACTCTATTCTACTCTATTCTAAAGGGTGTGCCCTTTTTTCAGGCCTTCGACATTCATGGAATGAAGATATATCCAAGTGATGGAGATACCTCTGTGATCAAGCCCAGTGGCCTTCAAGAGTAGTCTAAAGAGATGTTCTAGATTTTGCTGGTAGCTCCATAAGTCTCTCCCTTTCCCTTTGTTGCAGGATCTGCGCATCGTATCTCCAGAGACAGACAGTGGCTTTGTGGGGTCAGAAACCAGCAGGGCGTCTCCTCTAGCACAGATGCCCAAGCACCAGTTGGTAAAGATGAGGTACAGCATGTTAGCTATCGCCCTTTTCTTTTATATATCTTTTTTTTCAGCCATCCTTTTTCTTCTGCAGCCTTCTTCACATCTATTTTCCAGTTCCACTCACTTTTCTATTCCCCTTTTCTCTTTCCCTCTGCTAATTCTACCCTCTGTGGAGGTGAGTTCAGAAAGGAAGCACATCTAACTGAATAGAAAACAAGTGTAATACACTTTACCAGTGTGTGTGTGTGTGTGTGTGAAATACCACTCACGCATCATCACAAAACCTCCAGAACTGTAAAGCCTACAAGCTTGAAATTTGGCACGTATGTTCCTCTTGGCTTCTAGGGGCTCACTAAGAAAGGATTTTTCAAAATGACCATCAGAGCATTAGTATTTCGTATATTATTATTAAGACGCTCTGCTGCTAAGGAGTTCTACTCCCCCTCCCCACCTGAGAAGAAATCTGTTCCAAATGCAAAACACAAGCAGAGGAGTTTCAGTTGCAGTTTCACAGCTTTAGTACAGAACAGTTGAGCTAAGCCACGCCCAGGCACCTTGCTGTCTCCTCCTTGCTCACATAGCAAATACTGCTTCCGTTTCCAAACAGCCCTCCACTCTCTCACACACTGACAGGACGCTAGCCAGATGAATACCGATGGATGCTGGTAGGCAGAGACAGAATTCCCCCCCCCTTATTTTCCTCCCCAAAAACTAAGCCCGACCACATAGTTTTGTAGCGAAGCGCAGGTATCCAGCTAGTCCTACATATTTGGGGGATTTTTTTGGTTCTAGGTGCTACAGCATCCAGAGGCCATCACCTACAATTGATGTGCCTCCCTGCTCACCATCCTCAAAGAAAGCACCAGGTGTGGTGAAGCACCTGGGACCAGACACATCACCTGGACAAGTGAAGCCTGAAGCTGGTAGAAACAGATGTACCTTATTGAAAAGAAACCCACTCCAGAAGGCTTCTCCCTGCAGGTGGATGAATGAAATGGAGCCAGAAGACAATGAGAACTGTGAGTTGAATTCCAGATGTGGTTGAGGTACCACCTCCATCATGTCCAGCTACCCAAGGTTCACCTCCTTGCTTAGGAAGCTTTGACTCAGTTATGGAGTCCAGTATCTCAGAGTGTTTCTGAACAGTTAGCAAGACGTCATCTATATACAACACAACTCACAAGTCCCAGATACTGGAGCTGAGATCTTAAGGTTTAGGGTCAACACTGTTCAAAAATATATCCCAAAACACCAAGATGCTTGCTTCTAGCGAAAGACCATGTTAATGAAGTGATTAATGAAAACAATTTAATGAAAAGAAAGGGTGACATGATAGCAGTGTTCCAATATTTGAGGAGTTGCCACAAAGAAGAAGGGGTCACGCCATTCTCCAAAGCACCTGAAGGCAAAAACAAGAAACAACGGATGGAAACTAATCAAGGAGAGATCCAACCTAGAACTAAGGAGAAGTTTCTTGACAGTTAGAACTATTAATAAATGGAAGGGCTTGCCTCCAAAAGTTATGGGTGCTTCTCAACACTGGAGGTTTTGAAGAAGAGACAGGATAGCCCTTTGTCTGAAATAGTATAGGGTCTCCTGCTTGAACAGGGGGTTGGACTAGATGACCTCCAAAGTCCATTCCAACTTTGTTATTTTGTTAAAAGTAGCGTGCTAGCTCCCCCATAAGTTTAATTTTCCTGTGATTTTCCCCTTTAGTAGGCTGAGTTTGGAGATAAAGTGGAAAGAAAATACAAGGGATAAATTTGAGATGCTCGGTGGCTAAGATGCTGAGCTTGTCGATCAGAAAGGTCGGCGGTTCGAATCCCTAGCGCCGCGTCACGGAGCGAGCTCCCGTTCCTTGTCCCAGCTTCTGCCAACCTAGCAGCTCAAAAGCATGTGAAAAATGCAAGTAGAAAAATAGGGACCCCCTTTGGTGGGAAGGTAAAAGCATTCTGAGCGCCTTTGGCATTTAGTCATGCCGGCCACGTGACCACGGAGACGTCTTCGGACAAGCGCTAGCTCTTCGGCTTTGTAACAGATGAGCATTGCCCGCTAGAGCCGGAAACGACTAGCACAGATGTGCGAGGGGAACCTTTAATCTTCTTTTTTAAACATTGACCCATCCCAGAGTGGACTCCATAGTGTACTTAAGAAAAGCAGACCTTGATGTATATATATATTTAAGGCTTAACACTCATGATATCTTGCTCTCTCTCTCTCTCGCTTGCCAGTTCACCCTGACTCTGAGACAGAAACGGAGACCCAGGGTGGTACCAGTCTGGATGGCAGCCCTCCACCCCGTGGGAGAAATGGCCCCCGTTCATCCCCAATTTCTTCCAACATGGCCCAGGCTCGCCACAAGAATTTTCTTCATTCACGCTTGGAACGAGAGTAAGTATGCCCCTTGCGAAAAGGAGTTCAGGAGAAGACAATATTAATATAGACCATTTGGGTGAGGTTGGTGAGGCTGTTGAAGTAGGATTGTTGCACTTCAAAACACCGTATTCAGGCTCAGACTTAAATCAGGACCACCCATTAGATTGCATCAGAGAATTGAAATATCTAGTCAATTAAAGTTCAGCACTAAATTGATGGCAAATGAGGGTCAATTCAGGAGGGGTTAGAATTGGACCATTTGTGACAATGCAATGATTCTAAGCTGATGACGTGCTTAACTCCACCCCCACCCCAGCTCTGCCTGCTCTTCTCCTACACACCCGCAAATGTTCACTATCCCACATCTTAACTAGGGGAGTGTACTTTATGGATAAATTCCATCAATTCATAATTATTATTTCTGATTAACTTGGTTGCCAACTCCTTAAAGCAAATCCTCCTTTGGCTGGGAAAAAGAGAGAGAGAGAGAGTTGCTATACCAAACAATCGGCGCCCTCAAAGCTTTCTCTATCTCTACCGATTACACCCTACTTTTCTAAACAACTGTCTTAGTCAAATGATTTTTTTTACCTATCATTCTACCCCCATCCCTCCAGCCCAGGAAGAGGGAGAGAAGAGCATTAAACTCCCTTTTTCTCTTGATGACTTCAACCCTCCCTGGTAGCAGTTGTCACAGTCAATCTGATGTTCCTATGTTCTTCGTTTTATTTCTCCACCAGTGAAGCCATTGAAGCTTTGCAGCACGAAGTTTCTCGGTTGCGCCAAAGTCTAGAAGAGTCACTCCATCGGCAGTCGTCTTCTCCCCACCCATCTAAAGTCCAGGACACGGCTCACCTTTATCCAAGCGTCACTCCAGCACGGTAAGGGATGGACGAAACTATTGTTTAACGTGTAAAAATTTCGGTGCAAACTCTCCTCTGGTAAACCTCATGGCTTCTTCCCAGTCCCTGATGAGCCTATCTGGAACTACATGTTGGTGGAGATTCTCCGTCATCCAAGTCATGGTTTTGCCAAAGATGCTTTTTCAAGAGGCAAGAAGCGGCTTCTTGGATGAGAAGTGAAACATCCAAGGAAAAAAACTTCTCATCCAAGAAGCTTCTTCAGTTCTGAATGGACTTTTTTTCCTTGAAGAAGTTTCACTTCTCATCCTAGAAGCTTCTTCAGTTCTGACTGGATTTTCTTTGCTTTTCCTTGAAGACATTTCACTTCTCATCCAAGAAGCTTCTTCAGTTCTGAATG